TCCTTAAAAATAATTGTGTCATGACTCAATTATTTATATGTTTTAATAGTGACTCAAATAATTGCGTCAAATAATTGCATCAATTGTGTCAAGGATCTACAAATTTCAGCAATATGTATACAAATCACTATTGCCTCTTTCGTCTGATCTTATACATCTTAGAATTGTATTAATTTGTACGTCTCTAGAAACTTTAGTATACCACAGTGGCCCTGTCTATCTAAAGTGCCTCCCTGCTACTAATTCTTCATCTTTATCTTTCTCCTGAGGTAGAAATAATATATGACAGAGTTTTGCTTATTCTTCGGTTACATGAGAAAAGGCCTGTGGCAGTTCTCTTTTCTTCAGTTCTTTTGCACCCCACCTTACCTTTATTATTTCATAAAAACCATATATATTATTACCATTATACTCGCTAAGTTAAACACTTTCCAAAACATATCTACAAACAGAGTTGGTGGGTTTACTGTTTGTTTTAAGTCAATTCATACACACAATATTTTCATAGCAATATTTGCTACACCATTTTCATTTTCCAAAAAATTTTTATCCAAAAAACTGAAATCAGTTTATCCCCTCAAGATGATCTATGCTTCTCAATCATCCAATCAGATTTTGTTTAAAGATCAAAACAAAACTCGATCAAGCTTAAACCGGTTGTGTACCACAACAATAATAACAACAACAACAATAACTAACACACTATCAACAACTATAACAACAAACAATGTCACGTATACTCTATTATTTATAATAACCAACAAGCTAGAGAGATGGAACAACAAGCTGTCTGGAGGCTTCTGAAGGGAAATAGTAGTTTTCTACCTATAAATTATAGTTTACTTAACGTAGTTCTAGCTATAGTTATTTTTCTTTTTCTTTTCAATTTTTTACATTTAAAAAATCAAAAAATTCGCAAAATTTCCTGAGTAGATAGGCATAGCTGCTATTCAGGTACAACTAGTATATAGTATTGTTTTAAATTTTTTTCAATATTAGTTAGATGTGTTCACATAGGCAGGCTAGCATTTAACTTGATATACATGTACGTAAGAAATGTTGTTTCTTTCACGATGTATATCATATTATATACAATATCAAATAAAGAAATAATGCTTACCTATGAGGGGAAACCCTTCCAAAAAAAATAAAAAATAAAAGATTTTTAATTAAAATAATATAAACAATTATGAAATTATTATTTGTATATAAAAAAAAACTCTTTTCTGTTTCTCTTAATTTTTTGAAAAATTTCTTTTTTAAAAAATTTTAACAAGATAAGAAAAAGAGAGCTTGTAGAGTTAATTTTTTTTCAAAGAAACTTTTCACTTCCTTTATTATTATTATAAATAATATAATTTTTTAAAAATACTAAAATAAATATTGTTTTTTTTAATTACTGTTATATATAAAATAAAAATATTATATATTTACAATATTGTAAAATTTTTTTTTCTAATTACAGTTTTTTAAATTTTTGTTACATATAGACCTTTTTTAAAATAAATATAATTAAATATAATTTCTTATTATTGCAGTTTCTTATTAACTATAATTTTTTATTGTTATAATTTTTTATTAATTATATTTTCCTGCTATTAAAATTTATTATTAATTATAATTTCTTACAATTTTTTATTAATTATGTTTTGTTATTAATTATAATTACAATTACGTACAAATCTAAAAATAACTTGTCAACAGGTGTTCTGCAACATGCACAGTTTAGCTCTAGTATAAAACCTTAGGATTTAATGTATTATTGTTTTATTTGTATAAAAATTAATAAACATAATGATTGCAGTCTAATTAGAGGCAAAAAAAAAAAACAATTTAGTAATATATAAATAAGTTTAATTAGAAAACCATATTAAGTAAAAAACAATAAAATAATATTTAAGAATAATTTTTATCCTGTGTTTAGTATATCAAGAAAACTTATAACTTGAGTTATATAGATATAAAAAAGAATCAAAATTTTATTTAAAGAAATTGATATTAAAAGATTATAAGATAGTTAATAGAAAAGTTAAAGTAATAATTGATTAAATCAAAAACATGCCTAAAGAATTAAAGGAATAGTAAAAGTATTTTATTGTGTAGTGATAACTAACTTGTCAAAAAGCTTATAATATTTTAAATTAGAACTTATAGAACAAAACAAGAAACCAATACATTTTTGAAAATTCATCATTAAGGATTTGACAATAAACATTAGATACTCATTATTATAATAATATTTAAAATTAAAAATCAAAGAGAAAACATAATCAAAAATGAATATATAAACTTGCTTAAGTTTTGACTAATAAAGATTAAGAAAGAAAATAAATTACAGAAACAATAGACGTGTTATAAAATTATAAGGATAAAATGATACATGATTTTTGTTATAGACTTGTGCAAATCAATATACAAGGTAAAAAAAAAATATTATAGAATCTTATTGTTGTATAAATCACATGATATTAATTAAATAAAGGAGACAATTTTAATATAATGAAACTTAGAATTTTTATAAAATAAAAGGTTAGAGAATATTGGTTATATCATAAATCCGAAAATGGGACCAGACATTTTTTATAAATTTATGGAGATTATTAATTTATGGAGTATTAATTTATAGAATTTCTACTGTATATATTTTTTATTTTAATTTTAGGCGGTTTTTTTTTGTCCCCTACTGTATATGTATATATAATGTATTGATTTATAAAAATAAAAAAATATTTATTGACAATAATTAATTACACATTATTATTAGGATGATGTACCGTTACTTTTCTAATTACGACATTTTCGCGAATTATTTAATCGCTCATTTGATCATCAAACCTTAAATCTTTTGTAGAGTCATCTATAGGTAATAATGAAAGATATCCAACAAATATGAAATAAATCCCACCAAAAATATAACCCAAAAATATATTATGTATCTCTTCTAAATACAATACTAATAAAAACAGATTTATGCACATTATAATTATCGCTAGAGTCCAAGTGACGAACCTGAAGAAATTATTAGTCTGGAAAGCGGGGCCCATCACCATTTTAGAACTTGTCAATTTAAGTAGTGGAATTATCGCAGTGGGAAGACAAAGACTTTGAAGAACATTCAAAAGTTCACCCATTACATCAAAATTATCGACCTAATAATAATAATAATAATAAATCTATCAATATAATTATTTTTAACAGATAATTATATAAACATAGATACTTACTGCGTATACAGCTACCAACATAGAAGGCACCAATGCGATACCACGAGTTATCGCGTTTCGATACCATTGTTTTGATAAAACTTTTCCGAAAAATCCTTCTATAACATATTGACCAGCTAACGTTCCTGCCATAGTAGAACTTTGACCTGCTGCCAATAATCCAAAAGCCCATAAATATTTTGATGCATAACCCAAAGTGTTTGACAAAACGTTACCGGCGTCATATAAACCCGGTAAAGGTTTGTTTTCGTTAGGTGAATAAAATACTTGGGCAAAAACTACTACAATCGCCATGTTTATGAGGTAAGAAGCTAACAAAGCAATCCCACTTTCTATGGCGAAATAAAAATTTGCTTCTTTGAGTTTTGAAACTGACGACGGGTCGGTTTTACGTGTCATTACTGAATTAAAGAATAATTATTGATTAGATCACGATATACTGAAATCAAATCATAATGTATAAATAAAGTATTTGAAAAATACCCAATGCCGAATGAAGGTACAAATTGTGCGGCATTATGACTATATATTTTAGAGGAATACAATTTAGAAATAATGATGTAGAATAATTTATCAGTCACAAAATCTGTTTTCAGTTCATACCAGCTCCAACCATCGCGACAACTTGAATAATTGCACGACTAAATATTCCAAGAAATGAAAGGTAAATTATTTAGTTTTTAAACTAAAAAAGTAATATCAAATATTTACTCACTGAGGCACATAAGGAATAAGAATTCCCATTGCAATTTCTTTAACATCAACACCACTTAAGAACATCTCAACCCAAAAACATACTGCCATTGTAGCAATCAATGCCATAAAAAATGCTTCAAGTTTTCTCATCCCATAATTTTGTAACAACATGAAGGCAAACGTGTCGAGTGCCGTCAACATCGTCCCTAACCAAAGGGGAATCTTCAGAATTATTCGGAGAGCAATTGCTGTACCAACTATCTCTTGAATATCTGATCCTATGATCGCAACTTCGGTTATTAGCCAAAGTATTATTGATATATGACGTGGATAATGACCCCTTATTAACTGTGCAAGGTGTTGACCCGAAACGGTGCCAATACGAGCTGCAAGACATTGAATCAGAAGACCGGCAATGTGCGCATATAATAAAATCCAAAGCTATTTGTGAATAGAAAATGAGCAAATACTTTAATGGCTAATAAAAGACAAAAAAAAAAAAAGAAGTGAAAAACTATGTAGTTATAGATTTGAACAATTCTAATTAAAATTTTTTATGTTAATTGTGTTTACCAAAGAATAGCCAGCCACAGCTCCAATTTGCAAATCTGCTTCTAAATTCCCCGGATCAAGGTAAGCTATTGACATCAAGAATCCTGAAATGGTGCGAGTGTGTGAATGTGTATTGTAAATATCGATTTATCCCCACAAAAGTTCAAAATTCGCTGGCACACTATGGAATACTTTCTCACCTGGTCCCGTGTATTTCCATAATTTTGACCACGAAAATTTGCCCTCAACCACCCCGGTTTCGATCTCAGGTTCTATCAATATGTCGCAACTGTTCTCAGTTGGTTCCGGTGTTACACTATCTTCCGTGCAATCCGATGTTGAAGTTGTGAGAAGTGAGGTAGTTTCTGTTGTACTCTTCGGTCGCATTTTTAAAGTATTATATCTTCTATAGGTTATTTGTTGAGATTTCTATTAACTACAAATAAAATTCTTGACAATAACCGATAGGAAATCTTTTAAGAGAAAGCTTCGCACAATAATTGTTTTGTCGTTTAACGTTGTTTTCATTAGTTCACAAACGTGTTTTAATGAGTCAAGAAAATTTCTATATGCCGTATGTGGAAAGATTTAGAAGATAAATTGATTGGCTTGTACGACTAAAAAAAAATAATGTTTACGAAAACCTCCGATTCATACAACATTACATGTTTCATCCACCTTTGTAGCATCAAGTGTCAATCTACAAAAGGAAATTAATGAAAACTACATGCTTAAAATCTGTATTCTAAAATGTATTAATGAGACCAGTAACTCGCAACCAAAGATCTACTGCGGTTCTTCCCTTTCAGATAAACAATAGTGTCAAAAGATGATAATGCACAAATATGGAAGTTCATAGTTAAACAACATGACCAATTGTATTTTGCCAAGCTCAAAATTCATTTGCTATTCGTATTTTTAATTTATTTTACTTATTATATGATTTCATAATGATCGCATTATTAAAATAGATTTTTGAAAAAAAATCAAGTATTAAAAAATCGGTATCTTTTTAAATTCTTTAAATTATATATAGGTAAATTATATATTTTATAATCAAATGAGTGTTTATGGTAATTATGTGATTTTTAAAATCGAAACATTAGAATATAAATATTTTTATTCTTTAAATATGATCTTACAAATAAATAAAATTGTTTTTTTTTCTTTTTCATTTTAAAAAAATTTTATTATTATCTAAACTTTTTTTATATAAATAAAAATTTTGAAATTTTTTTTTAATATATAAATATTATTTTTTCTATTTGATTTGTATAATACAATATATACGTATATTATAAAAGATTATTAAATAATATCAAATAATTATAAATATTAAATAGTAAAAAGTTAGAATAAATAAAAATTTATTAAAAAATACAATTAAAAAAATTATAGCAATAAAAAATTTTATAATTATAAAAAATAAATTAATAATAATTATATCTTATACTAATAAAATAGAATTTAGTTTTAGAATTATTGATTAAACTAATAATAGTATTTTTGTTCTTTTTAATTCTAATAAATAGAAAAGTAATTATTATATTATATTATTTTAAATTAAATATTATAAAATTAACTATGAATTTTTTAAAACAATATATGTAATATATATAAATCAATATTTTAAATTATAATTTAATAAATATTTAAATAAAACTTTAATAAAATAATTTATTATTAAAACTTTTTTTTTTATAGGTAAATATTAATTTTTTATTTATTTATATATTACAAGATATATATTTAAAAAAAATTAATATCTCTTGAATACAAAACATATAACAAGTAAAATACTAACTTGCCTATTAATATTATAAATAGTTAATACTGAAAAAAATTTTAAATAATATTAATATTAAATATAAATTAAATAATAGTTATGCTTATCTATTTAAAAAAAAAATTTAAGATATATAAGAAATTTGAAAAAAAAAATAAATATAATTAAAGTTAAAATAATATGAAAAAACAAAACTCTTTTTACTAATTCCTTTACCAACACAAAAAACAGACGTTTCAAGAAAATTTTTATATTTTTTTGTAATAAAGTTTATATACTTTTATTAACAATACTTATATTAAGAAACTATAATCTCTCTTTTTTTTTTTAATCCCGCAATCAGGTTGGTGTCGTTTATTTATTTAATCATAAAGAACCATTACAAGTTGAGAACC